TAAAATATAGTGGTTTGATGTTTATCATCTATGGTCCACTATTTCAACTTATCCAATTATAAAATCAACTCATTTCTACACAATGCTAAACTTAATTCACGTACTAGTATGTATCAAACTTCACATGAAAAAGTAAAAATTAACTTAAGCATGCAACATATTCACCAATCATTGATCAATTTATAATTCAATATATTCCTGATTGCCAATCAAGCCAAACTCACGCAAGCACACACAAAGGGAATATTTTTGAATTTAAAAAAAAAGTTTTAATCGTTTTTTGTATTTTTCTAATATTTAAAGTAATAAAACACATAAAAACAAAAAAATAAAAGAAAATTCATATTTTTCACCTCCAAACTTAAATTAGACATTGTCTTAAATGTCTTAAATCCTGAATTCACATATTGTCTTAAATGTCTTAAATCCTGAATTCACATATAAAGGGATGGAAAAGAAAATGAAGAAAATACTCCTCGATATGGCATAAAATTCAATAGCTAGCTTTTCCTATTGCTAATGTTGTCTCATTGGTCAATATTGGTTTAATTGTTTTGTGACGTTATGTTCCTGTACAATGCGGTTAAATAAAAAAATAAGATAAAAAATATAGAACATGTGTTACTTAGCTCAAACATCTAGTACACCGACTAATAACTTGAGGACCTAAAGGAAAACAAAAAGTGAATGATGATTCCCTAATAATCAAATAAAAACTACTCAAAATTATTTTAAGTCTAGCAAGTATAATAAATAGAAGAGATAGAAATATTGGGTTGCCTATCAACAAGAGCAGTTTAAAGTCCTGAGCTTGACTCCTACAATTTGTAGGCTCTTCATAGTGGCTTGAAAAGGGAATTTTCAGCCCTGCACTTTAAGGACCGATTGCATTTTTTTTCTTTTATCTTTCATCTTCCATATAATCAAGTTTGCATTGTTGTCCCTACCAACAATTTCACCTTCATCTGGCCTGCCTTTGTAACTCTCAAAATGATATACTCTTTGGCAATCCTCAAAGTACAAGGGTTGCTTAATTGTATTTTCCATGATGAAGCTATGTTGCTTATCATCCACCTTGAAGACTATCTCATTAGTATCAAAATCCAGCAAGGCTCGACTTGTAGATAAGAATGTCCTTCTTAGAATTATTGGCATCCGATGTGCCTCTTCTATGTCCAGGATGATGAAGTCAACTGGAAAAATGAACTCTCCGCCTTGATAAGCATGTCTTCGACTATTCCATAGGGGTGCTTCAGTGATCAATCCACTAACTGAAAGATAATAAATACCACCTTTGGATCTCCAAATCCTAATTTCCTGTAAAGAGACAAAAGAATTAAATTAATACTCGCTTCTAAATTAATTAAACAATTTATATCATGTAAACATCCTATGGAGCAAGATGAAGTGAAACCCCTTGAATCTTTAAATTTAGGAGGGATCCTACATTGAATGATCACACTGCACTCTTCAGATAAAGCTATTGTTCCATGCTTGGACAGCTTCCTTCTCTTAGTTATCATCTCCTTAAAAAAACTTGGAGTAGTTTGGAATTTGAAGGATCGCATCAATGAAAGGGACGTTGACATGCAGCTATTTGAGAACTTTTAGGAACCTTGTGAACTGCTTCTCCAACTTGTTATTTTTCAACTTTTTAGGAAATGGGACTGTGTGCAAATGCTTTGATAGGAACTTTTACCTCAACTTGTGGACTGTCCGAAGGCATTTGCCGATCCTTCTCTATTGATTCTTCAAAATACTCCACTTGTTCTTTGCCTTTTGTAGATACCTAAATACCTCTAGTCCCGTTTTTTCTTATAGCAATATTCGGTAGTTGAATCCCACTTCTAGTGGTGATGACCTAAAGCTGAGTGGCGGAGATGAATGACGGTGACTTTTTAGATTCAAACCTCACCACCCCCAACTACTAGTACTTGTTCCCATGGATTTTTCTCTGTGTCGCTAGGCAATATACCCTGTGGTTTGTTGGCTATTGTAGTTGCTATCTGTCCTACGTACTATTTCAAATTCTTAACAGAAGCCTGTTGATTCTGGAAACTGGACTCAATCTTTGTGATATACTGAGATAGCAAATCATCCAATGAGGGACTTTTCTCTTGCTGATGTTGCTGCTACTATTGGAACCCTAGTGGTTTATTCTGATAATTCTGTCCTTGATTATTAGCCCATGAGGGATTTGTCAGCTTGTTCCAGTCTGAATGGTAATTATTAGGTAGTTTTGTTGCCTCAACCTGTTCTGGCTGACCCATATGAGTAGAAGCTAAATGACAACTTGTAGTGATGTGATCTGCCACATAACCTGCGCACACCAGAGTTGGAGTTCGTACCATATTCACGGAATGAGTCAAAGTGTCAAGCTTTCTTATTATTGCCTCCATATGTGCTGCTAATGCAGCTACCGCATTCACATTATGTATACCAACTATTTTCCTATAGACTTCCCTATCGCTTGGCCATATTGATTATTTTCTACTATTTTATCATACAGTTCATAAGCATCATCCACGTCCATAATCATTATCTATCTTCCTGCTGAAGCATCTATCATATTCTTGAATTCTTGGTGTATTCCGTAGTAAATGAGGTATACTTGTACTTACATAGAATGTTAAGGTTGGGACACTTCTATAATACGTTCTTATACTTATCCCATGCCTGTGGATATCTCTTGAGGTCTTTCTACTTAAATGTTTGGATTTCATTCTGAATTCGATGGACTCGAGATGGTGGAAAAAATTTCATCGTGAACTTTTGCACTATGTCATTCCACAAAAAGATGCTCCCGGGAGGTAATGTAGACCTACTCTCTTACAGCATCCTTCAGAGTGTGAGGGAGTAATCGCATCCAAAATGCATCAGTTGACATCCGTTCATGACTAATAACTTCGCACAACATGAAAAATAGCTTGTATATGTTGAGAACCTGATGACTCCGGAAGAGGTTTATGACATTTGATCGGATGTAGAAGTTAGCCTGTCCAAGATGATCGAAGGTTGAACTGGAGCTGGCATTGGATTAACATAATCCCCTATTAATACCGATTGAGCACGAGGTGGTTGCTGAATTGGAAGTGTTGCTTTCTGTAGTGTATCTTGAACTTGATTTTGATTCCCAGCCATGATCCCAACTCTTTTCGATTCTATTCTACGTTGCTTGAAAGTCCTTTCAATCTCGAGATCTATAGGGAGAATCTCAACTGTGTCAGGAACTTGTATAAACTGATAGATGCCTAAAAGAGTGAATCAAGAAAAGATTAAGTATCTGAATTAAAGCCTAAAAAGAACAAAAATAAAAATAAAAAAATTGAACTTAATATACACTACTAAACTAAAATTAAATCCATTATTCTTCAATAACGACGTCAAAAACTTGTTCGTAGAAAACTCACAAGCGTATGAGATCCTTAATAAGTAATAAAAATTAGTGAGTTTCAAGTTTATCGTTCCCATGTTCAGGTCAAGTTTTGGTATTTAAAAGATGTTAAAAAGATTGCATTGAATTGTCACCAAAACAAAAAGAAAATCGAATTTTCCATTTTTGTACTGAGATGTGTGCCTAGGCATATCTAGGGCACGCACTTGGCTGGTTTGCGATGTGTGCCTCTCCAAATGGCGAGGGTGCGAGCCTCTCCTAATTTTCGACAACTAAATAATTTTTAATATTTTTGTCATAACTTTTTCTCTCAATATCCTATTGAGATAATTCAAAGTGCATTGAAAAACTAACTCAGAGGACTACAATGTTTTAGAAGTATCATTTTTTAATTCGAAAGTTTCCTATGCCAAAATTGGGTCTCAATATGTGGCTAAAAATTTGATGTATACATTTTTCGGCGGAAAGTTAATGTATGATAATGCTTTGACCATACTTTATCCCTTTAACTTATTTCCTCATCCAATTGACCCTTAGCACTTTCCAATCTTCATCTTGAGATTCGACACAATTTTTTAGTATTTTCATTTTAGTCCCCGAACTTTGAGTTTGCTTCATCTCAGTCCTTTTTCTCTTGCAATCTTATTCATTTATCTTCCATATCCAATTAAATCTTTGGTATTTTTGATCTTCATTTTGTTGTCTGTCTCATCCATGAATTGTTTGTAATTTAGTCCTTGACTTTTGGATTTCGCCATTTTTACTATTTTTGCATTCTTTTTTCTAATTCTTCATCAAACATCGAGTTTTACCTATAAAATGCAATACAAAACACATGTTAGGTTGTATTTTATCCGAAGAACAGTAAAATATCATCATCTAGTCTCTTGAATAAATGTAAAAACTACGCGTATCAAGAGAGAACATTGATATTCCCAACATGGACGTTATGTTTATACCTCTACGCCGTTCATAGCGTAACACTCAAGGAATCACAAATCTACTACATTTTCATGTGAATTTCTTCTACGCTATCATTGATATGCAAATTCATGTGTCGAATGATCATTTTTTCGAGGCAAATAACAATTAACTCTTTTGTGTTGCATGTTTGTGTCTGGATAATTCATTTCCTGCTTTCGATAAGGACAAGTTAATTCAATTGTGAGAGAATTATTCCAAAAATCTAAAACCAATAGAGATCTTAGCACTTGAAGAGCAAATACAGACATATATTATTATATGTGCACTCATGAAGTTTTAGAGAAGTTATGCAGCCTTAATGATCTTGCAAAAAAGTTGGTTGCGGTAAAAAATGTGGTGCACCCATTAGTTTACTGGCTTGTAACATTAGCGTTAATTCTTCCAGTTGTTACTATTATTGTCACACCCCTCATTTTTAGTTAAATTCAAGAGTTGAATTTTCAAGTAAAAGTCAAATAGGGACTTAAATTAAATAAATAATTCTATTGGGACTTAATTGATCAAATTATTTTATTGGGGTTTATTTTATAAATTGTCAATATTTTAAGGTCTAAGATGGATAAAAATTAATTTTTGGAGATTTACTTATATATTATCAAAAGCAAAGTGGTTAGATTTTATATCCAATGGAAGTTAAGGATTTAATGTGATGTTATATGGAAGTGGAGGACTTGAATGCAAATGAGGGCATTAGTGGATTACAATTGTCAGATGCTCAACTATTTAGCCATTTTCAATTGATATATACCTACAAAAATCTGGAAACGGGGCAGAGAAGCTGGAAAAATTGAGAAGAAAGAAAGAAAAGAGAAAGGAAAGAGAGAAAGAAGAAAAGAAAGAAAGGAAAAAGGAAAAGGAAAAGGAAAAAAGGTAGGTTGGCTATTCCAATTTCATCTTCAATTTGACAAATTTTTTAGTATGTTTTATGCTTAATTTTTTTAGGGTTGCGATTTATTGGTTTAATTTCCAGATTGAAGGAAGAGATATGTTTGTAAGCCAATATTTTTGAATTGGGAAGGCTACTTTTAATAGGTATGAAATACCAATTTTGGAAAAAAAATCTTGAATTTTTATTTGGGTTTTTGAATGAATATAGTTAAGAGGAATAATTGTAGAGATGAAATACTCATTTGAAGGCATGAATTTACGGAGCAAGATGGAAAATTAAATTGGTTAAATTATAATTATTAGTTTTACTAATTTGGAAGAAGGAATTATTTTTATGTTTGAAGTGAAGATTATTTTGATGAATTAGATTTTAATGAAAGGACTAGAAGGTAGAATTAGTTCCAATTGTGAAGGAAATTAAGGAATATATCCAAGTGTCGAGTATTTCGTAGTTAAAAGTTAAGAATACTTGGTAGTGTAGTTGTTAAATTGGTTATCTTGTATCATATTTCAGGAGATGACGAGAAGATTGAAATCATGATCAATCCATAACTTGGTGAGTGGATATAAAACTTATTTTCAAAAATTAATATTTATTAAATTTATGTTAGATTAGAAAATTTATTATTTCATACAGTTGATTTGACAACATGATTTTTAGAATAAAGTTTCATTAGCAAGTTTTATTAAAATTACATGTTGCGGTATAGCTAAAGTTATTTTTTAAAAACCACCAGAAAATACCCAGGTGATTTTACCCCAGTTTGCACTGGTGTGAATGTGTTTCCATAGTGTATGACTAATTTTGGTGATTTCACCCGCTCTGCACTATTGTGAATGTGTTTCCATAGTGTATGACCATATTATCAGAGGTCTTTAGGACCCACTCTTGTACACACATAAGCTTTGGGCCGTGTACTAGGGTGATTAGCCTTTGGGACAGTTCTGCGTACGTATGACCAGATTATCAGATTACCAAATTATCAGAATATCAGATTTGAATGGCTCTACCTTGTACATCGAGATTACTCTGTACATGAGTAAGGCTATTAATTGGGTACCTTTTTGTGTGATTTTTCAGTATTTCTACTGCTTATCAGATTTTAGATTATAGAATTTAGTCTATTCAGTTCTCAGATTAAAGCATTCAGCTTATAGTATTGATCAGCAGCAAGATTTCATAGATTTTCACGGATATCATATAATTTATATTCGTTACATTTACAGTTATTTATCTAGAATGAATAACAAAGAATTTTATGATGTATTCATGTTTGATTGTAAAAAGTGTTACTAGATTTCAGAATTTGTTAAAGTTTCAATAGAGCAAGAATTTTCAGAAAATATGCATAAATGAGAAAAGTATACTTATTTGCAAACCATTCACTCATTGTGTTACAAGCTCATGTTTTGCCACCATTTTTCTGAGCAGATAGTAGCGGAGTTCAGCAGTCTTGGAGCCTGTCAGTTCTCCTAATTGAGCCACACGTCAGTAGTTTTATAGCCTACTTTATCAGATTATTATTTGATATCTTTAGTATGTTTGGGGACCTTTGGTTGTAAAGTTATTATCGATTTGCTAGTATTCTATTTGAACAATTTGGATTTTGAGGGGCTGGTGTACCTTGTTTTATATTATATGTATTGATTTGAGGAAAATTGGTAATTGTTTAGGTGGTTTTAGTTCGTATTTCAGGGGAAACTCCGTTAAAATTCTGTTAAAAATATTTCTCAATCAAGCAAGTCAAGGTTGCCTTGATGGTGGGTCCGACATTCAGTTGGTATCTACCATCGACACACAACACGTGTCGAGTCCACTAAGATGATTCGGGACAGATTGTGTTAATTGGTATCAGAGCATGGTTCAGTGGTTGTTAAGCTCGAGTAATTAATGAGTTTCTTTTTCTGAATAGTATGTCATTGAAATTATTAGCCATGGCATGGTGGCAGAACTCACAGGCTCCAATGTGGTATTTGAAACTCATATTGCCCTTGATAACGAAGTTATGGTAGCTAAGAAACTAAAAGGATCTTTATTTATTTGGGCATAATAAATATGCGGATGTTATTGAGAATTATCCGATGGTAATGAGAGTTGTTAGAGTTGTCATGTTGGCACCATGTTAAATTTTCTCTAATATATTAATAATTGTGCTATATATCCAATAGGTAGTTAAGTGAAGAGTATAACTTTTCTTAGTAATGAGATTTATTGGGTTATGAGTTTCTTTCGTGATTATTAGAGGGAATGTCCTTTAGATGCCTTGGATGATAAGTATTGTCTAATGTTGATCTATGTATAACTGGTCACATTAAAGGTGAAATCATGATTGCTTTGTAAATTTAAAAGTTTGTGGTATTATGTGAATTATTGTGGAAATTTGTAATCATATTTAGTATATGGAAGAAAATGCATGTATTAGAATATCAAGAGGTGGAGATATAGTAAGAAATCTTGTTCATGACAGAAATAATGAAATCATATGGAATGTCGATTCGTGACGAAAATGGTGTTATTAAATATGTTTTACCTGATGATTTTGAGTAAATTAATGGGACTATGGTTCCTTTCTTGTTGATTAAAGAATGATTAAGTATCTAGGTCTATACTTCAACTACTATAGAAGGAAATATTAAGGGTTTAATTACTCGGTTTAGGTGTATGAAAATAAGTTATGATGAATGAAAAAAGAGAAAATATTTCTTACAATTCAGAAATGACTAGTATGTAAGTATATCAGATGCAGGGATTTAATGGTTGACAATGTTATAAGCTGTTGGGTTGGTACAGAGGTGTATGTGATCTAGTACTCAATAAGAGTGTAACGACGAACATATATCAGTTTGGAATTAGAGTTTTAATAATTTTGTAGGTTATCTATCTATATGCATTCGAAGGAATGGAGTTGCCTAAATATTAAATTACTTGCGAGATTATGTGATTTTTTTAATGTAGATATAGGAAAGTTTCGATTATAATTTGCATGATAAATAAAATGGAATGATATTATGTGTAATCGATGACAATTATATGAGAAATCTTAATTATCTCTGAAAAACTAAATGATCATTAGTATCATCGGAGATTGTGGTAATTTGTAGCCACTCATATGGGGGGATGATAGAAATTATGGTGGTGTGTATCTATATATATATGTGATAAGAGTCTCGTGGCGAATTAATAATGAAATTATACTGAATATTGATTGGTAGAGAATAATATGTTATTATGTATGTTATTCATTGAGGAAATTGACATTTATGTGACTCCGATCATTTTAAATAATTATGGGTTATTGGATTATAAGAGATGTGAAAAAGATATGGATAGATTTCACAAGGAGGATTTATTGTGGGGGTAAATTGTTGTTTACGAAAGAGAATATTGAATCGGTATATCTATGTTAATTGCGTAAAAGGTATGAAAGGAAGGAGTTGAATAAATGCACATAGATCGTCATTCTTGAGTTATAGTAAAGTAATCATATATTGAAGTAAAGAATGGCATATTTGAAAATTATGATGATTGAAAAATTTGCATACGGAATCTTGATGGTATATTATTGTGTGAGATGTTGCTTGATAGTTATAAAGAGCACTATTTTTGTGTGATCCTAAGGAAATAGGTATAATCAAATGTTTGAAGTTATACAATGTGACCATAAATGATAAGGTTACATGATATAGTGTATAGCAAGTGAAGAAATGTTATGGTTGTCCTATAGCCAAGTATTGTGATGAGATATTTGGGTTATTAATTAACTTTGTCAAGGCCATTTGTGGATTATTATATTATATTATATTATATACAATCTAGAAGCTTCGAGCTAAATTTGGAAGTTAAGGTGAATTTAATGAATTTTTAGTAACGTAAAGTTTGGGAGATTTTCAATTGTATTTTTAGATCTCTCGAATAAAGTATTCCATTCTTATCGAGATCTATAGGTTGTGGAACATATGGAGGATGTGTTGGATAGTTTAAAGTCTAAGATGATCATCAAATGTAAATTTTATTAAATTGTGGAATGGTATCTTTAGATTATAATATTAATTGTACGTCTTTGTGCAATATACAAGAAGGCTTATGCATTGGTAATAGGTCAATGGCCTCTTTATGGAATAAGAGTAAAAAATTATCATGGATTAAATATTATTATTGTATTTTCATAAAAAGAAAGAGCACCAAAATCGTGTCGGTTTAGAAATGTCACAAGCTTTGCTATCAGATTACATTATGATGAAATATGTACTCTCGTATCTAAAGTTGATGAAGGCCTAATTTATGATAATGAATTATATTAAGGTTTAGAAAGTATGCTAAAGTAAATGATGAATTATAGATATTACTATAGATTGTTAAAGATGTATGATTCAGACATGTTTTATTGTTAGTTATATTGGGGTTGGAGTTAGAAATTGTACTGTTATATTCTTGCAAGAAACATCGATACTTATATATCACCGAGTTTAAGGTATATTTCAATTTGAAAGGGTTGAAATTGAAGTTGTGTATATATTATCATTGGTTGATATAGAATTAAAAGAAAAGGAACATCATATTGAGCTATCTCAATTATTGTTGGGGATAACTAGAATTTTAGAAAACCATGAATAATTGAAATTTTTGTAGATAATGTTAATTTAGAATTGGAGTAGCTACCAACAAACATTTTTCGACTGGGGTTCCAAATAAATAGAATGGAGACAAAAATGGTATTTGAATCATTGTTGATAGATCGATAAAGGTTAAAAGAATTCTTTTCAAATGATATAGTCAGTTCATGAGATAGAATTATTAAATTATATTTAGATAAGATTTCTGTTTATATGGAGTTTGAGTATCTATCTTTGACTTAGGGAGTTATATAACTAAATTACATTGTGTAGCTTCTTGGAATATTAGACACTATGAGGACAAGTTTAGAACACAGGTTATGAACTACAGTTTGTTGATTAAAGGGGACTTGGATAATTAGTTATTTTCATGGTGTGACATGTTAGAACTAGATACAAGTGATGTTATGTAAGGTTATACTTAGAGGGTGAAATATTCTATGGACATTTATTGTGATGATTGGCGAAAGAATGTTATTCAGTCTTAGTATGTAACAATTGTTATATAAAAGGGAGTTGATTAGAGAATAGTTCAAATCATGACATAAGATGAAGTTTTGAAGAGTATAAAAATAATATCTTGGACTTCAAATTGGAAAATAGCTGAATTTTTCTAAGATATGATAAAATGAAAAGTTGAGAATTTCACATATTGATCTTTGAGATATTATTTGGAACTTGGGTCAAATTGTTTAATGATGAAGTTTACAATGAGGTTATATGATATTTTATAATGTATGGTCTATTTCTAAGGCTTAGTAAGTAGATATCAGATTTAGTTTATGCTTTAAGATTGCTAGTGAAGTTAAAGAGAGCTTAGTTAGATAAGATGCCTAGATATGAAAGAATGAAGTTATGTCTAGTTAAAGGTTGCTAGAAAATTTATTCGTTATGTGTGCTCTATACCTTTATATGTTCGAATTCTAGTTGATAGAATTTCGAGGACGAAATTCTTTGAAGGGGGTAAGATTGTCACACCCTTCATTTTTAGTTAAAGTCAAGAGTTGAATTTTCAAGTCAAAGTCAAATAGGAACTTAAATAAAATAAATAATTCTATTGGGACTCAATTGACCAAATTATTTTATTGGGGTTTATTTTATAATTTGTCAATATTTTAAGGTCTAAGATGGATAAAAATTAATTTTTGGAGATTTACTTATATATTATTGAAAGTAAAGTGGTTAGATTTTATATCCAATGGAAGTTAAGGATTTAATGTGATGTTATATGGAAGTGGAGGACTTGAATGCAAATGATGGCATTAGTGGATTACAATTGTCAAATGCTCAACTATTTAGCCATTTTCAATTGATATATACCTACAAAAATCTGGAAACAGGGCAGAGAAGCTGGAAAAATCGAGAAGAAAGAAAGAAAAGAGAAAGGAAAGAGAGAAAGAAGGAAAGAAAGAAAGGAAAAGGAAAAAGAAAGAAAAAAAGGTAGGGTTGACTATTCCAATTTCATCTTCAATTTGACAAATTTCTTGGTATGTTTTATGCTTAATTTTTTTAGGGTTGCGATTTATTGGTTTAATTTCCAGATTGAAGGAAGGGATATGTTTGCAAGCCAATATTTTTGAATTGGGAATGCTACTTATAGGTATGAAATACCAATTTTGGAAAAACCTTGAATTTTTGTTTGGGTTTTTGAATTAATATAGTTAACAGGAATAATTGTAGAGATGAAATATTCATTTGAAGGCATGAAGTTATGGAACAAGATGGAAAATTAAATTGGTTAAATTATAATTATTAGTTTAACTAGTTTGGAAGAAGGAATTATTTTTATGTTTGAAGTGAAGATTATTTTGATGAATTAGATCTTAATGAAAGGACTAGAAGGTAGAATTAGTTCCAATTGTGAAGGAAATTAAAGAATATATCCAAGTGTCAAGAAGTCGAGTATTTTGTAGTTAAAAGTTAAGAATACTTGGTAGGGTAGTTGTTAAATTGGTTATCTTGTATCATATTTCAGGAAATGACGAGAAGATTGAAATCATGATCAATCCATAACTTGGAGAGTGGATATAAAACTTATTTTGCAGAAATTAATATTTATTAAATTTATGTTAGATTAGAAAATTTATTATTTCATACAGTTGATTTAATAACATGATTTTTTGAATAAAGTGGATTTATAATCAGTTATTTTTTAAAGTTAAATTCAGTTTAATTAAATCATTTCATTTGCATGTTTTATTCGAATTACATGTTTCGGTATAACTAAAGTTATTTTTTAAAAACCACCAGAAAGTACCAAGGTGATTTTACCCCAGTTTGCATTGGCGTGAATGTGTTTCCACAGTGTATGACTAATTTTGGTAATTTTACCCACTCTGCACCATTGTGAATGTGTTTTCATAGCATATGACCAGATTATCAGAGGTCTTTGGGACCCACTCTCGTACACACATAGGCTTTGGGCCGTGTACTAGGGTGATTAGCTTTTGGGGCAATTCTGCGTACGTATTGTTAGATTATCAGATTACCAAATTATCAGAATATTATATTTGAATGGCTCTACCTTGTACATCAAAATTACTCTGTACATGAGTAAAACTATTCATTGGGTACCTTTTCGTGTGATTTTTCAGTATTTCTACAACTTATCAGATTTCAAATTATAGAATTCAGTCTATTTAGTTCTCAGATTAAAGCATTCAACTTATAGTATTGATCAGCAGCAATATTTCATAGATTTTCACGGATGTCATATTATTTATATTCGTTTCATTTTACGGTTATTTATCTAGAATGAAGAACAAAGAATTTTATGATGTATTCATGTGTGATTGAAAAAAGTGTTACTAGATTTCAAAATTTGTTAAAGTTTCAATAAAGCAAGAATTTTCAGAAAATATGCATAAATGAGAAAAATATACTTATTTGCAAACCATTCACTCACTGTGTTACAAGCTCATGTTTTGCCACCCATTTTCTGAGCAGATAGTAGCGGAGTTCAGCAATCTTGGAGCTTGTTAGTTCACCTAATTGAGCCACACGTCAGTAGTTGTATAGCCTACTTTATCAGATTATTATTTGATATCTTTAGTACGTTTGGGGACCTTTGGTTGTAAAGTTATTATCAATTTGCTAGTATTCTATTTGAACAGTTTGGATTTTGAGGGGTTGGTGTACCTTGTTTTATATTATATGTATTGATTTGAGCAAAATTAGTAATTGTTCAGGTGGTTTTAGTTCGTATTTCAGGGGAAACTCCGTCAAAATTCTGTTAAAAATATTTTTCAGTCAAGCAAGTCAAGATTGCCGTGATGGTGGGTCGGGCGTTCAGTTGATATCTACCATCGACGCACAACACGTGTCGAGTCCACTAGGATGATTCGGGACGGGTTGTGTCAATTATGGTAGAGAGAATATTTTCTACAATGAAGATTAGCAAGAATCGACTGCGTAATCAAACGGGAGATCAATGCTTAAGTGATATTTTGGTTGCATATATTGAGAATGATGTACTTGACAATATGAATAATAATGTAATTATATGACGTTTTCGGGTAAGAAAATGTGTAGGCTACAGTAATATATTGACTTATTTTCGTTAATGATATATTGTTTTTAAAAATTGCATTTTAATTTTTAACCTTACTATACAAAAAGTTTGGGTCCGCTCGTGCATGAGAATGAAAAGGAGCATATAAAAGTAATGTTGATCATGAGATTTTATTTAATAAAAGTAATGTTGGAATGTATTGCTAATGAATATAATGTTTTTTCAAAAAAAAATTAAAATTATAATAGAGATAGATTTGGAATGAGAAATATATATAAAAGTAGTGTGAATATTAAATGAATGAATTTAATATATGTAATCGTTGGTGAAAGTTTTAAAGCTCAACAAATTCAACATACCTCAAGCAATTCAAGATAGGATTCTTGAGCACATTCAATTCAACCAATTAGCGAGGAGACAATGACAGTTGACCTTCAAATTGAAGACCCTTCATATCTTGCAAAAATTGTTACTTTTAATGAAAAAACAAATTATAATCAAAATTAAGTAAAAAAATAATATTGAAAAAATAAAAATAAAAAATAATCTCCTTCTTGATGTCTCTCATCTCTCCATTACCACCCCAACTTCCCGCATTCTTAGCCCCCTTTGAATCTCGTAGTCCTTGATCTATTCCACCACCTATTCAAATCCCACAGCTTTTGGCCAACTTAATTCCATACCAATACCCCTCTGAACTCCCATAATTCTTAATCTCTAAATCATACAAACCCAGCTTAACCATAGTAGACCAAATATAAAAATTTTGATTTAAGCCTATTTTGCACCTGTTCACACTTTATAAAAATTGTTTCTTTCATCTATATCCTTATTTAGTGTTTTAGTATTAGTAGATTTTAACTGATTTATAATTATTTTAATATGATGGTTATTTTTATTTAATACTTATTTTTAAATTCTAATCAATTAATAAGTAATAATTATTTCAACAATAAATTAAAATAGCTTATTAAAAAGTCAAAAGTTATAAATTGGATAATTATTATATTAGCACTAGTACAATTTATTTAAATATAATTTCTAATTTAACGATTTTTAAAATAATATAATTTATAAAATAAAATTTGATATAAAATAATTCAAAATAAAATTTGGTGTAAAATTTAGGCTGTGTCTGGGCGCACTATTTTTCCTAAACTTAAGTGACTTTGTGACCATTGATGCCTCCAACGGTCACAATTTCACGTTTAGTCTGATATTTGAATAAAAAATACTAACACACATGTCTATTGCATTTTTCCATTTGTACCCTCACAATTAACGCCAACACCAACCCCTCTTTCTCTGTCGTCTACAAAATGGAAAAGCAAGGATAGATAACTATGAAAACTCCTCCACTCCACGACGGTGCTGACACCACTGCTTCACTGGACGACACCGCTCTTGCACTGGACGAAGTTGCCAACATTAATTGCTGTCCGGTGGCCACAATATTTGAAATTTTTCCTGGTCCGACGGTGATAAAAAGTTTCGGACGCCGAGATAATTTTCTACAACAACCCGGTCGCCCCACCCTACTCCGACGACAGTAGCGGTCGGTTGATATAGCCCCTGCCAACAGCTTCAACCCCGAAGATGCGTTGACGACGTTCGCCTTCTCTGACCACCGATTGAAACAACTCCACAGTCACATTCGACGCCCACAGTCACAATCTGCGCTCCCAGTTTCTCCGGCACACACACGGTCAGGTGTTGGAAAAAAACTGCTCACCCACACTGAACAACCATGGACCCAGTCACGTCCCCGGTACGGTACTCGAACTTGAACCTTTTGTTAATTTTTCTGATCACTGTAGAATGCCATGATCATTGATTCTGCTGATGGAAAGTAACAATTTCTCCTCCCATTTTGCAGTAGCCAAATTTTGGTTCACACCCACACCCGAACTCTTCCACATCACATGGCCACCATGTTGATAGCAAATCGGGGCCTCGTAAGCATGCACAATGGATTGACTATGAGACGCAAATTTTTGTTGCCGCCTATGAGACCGTAATCGCTGATGGACACTGAAATGGGAAGTGCTTCACCACATTCAGATGGCAGACATTGATTCACTTATTCAACACCAACTCCGGCCACAATTGGAGCAAGCAGCAGCTAAAAAATCAATGGGATGCACTCCGCTTGAAACATAAGAGATTCGAAGAATTGATCAACAGCAGCGGCGTTGCGTACGACACGTCCACTGGCTTGATCAGCGCCTCGGCCGAGTGGTAGGATCGAAAGACGAAGGTACCATCATATACTCATCAGTACTATGTTTCAGAACATATTGACTAATTGATATCCAAAATTGGAAAGGCATTAGTTATGGCTGTCCCTGTAGTATAGGGAGGAATATGTTATACAGGTATGTGACAACTGTTTGATAGTTCTGTTGTTTTTGTTGAATGTTCGAAGTGAACAAACTACTAATTAATAGGACAGGATATGTATTAATCTTGGACAAAATGTTGTCCATTTTTTTCATAGGAGATGCATGCCATTGATTTGGATGTTTTGTACACTGTAACCCCTGTTATAACACTAATTCCACCACATACGAAGTGAATTGTTATGTATGGACACCCTTTCGATTATTCTGGCCTTTGATTATGAGTTTTCTGTGTGATGGTTTTCTAGAATTGGAAGTATGAGATATTGCAACTCCATCCGCATGGTTACCTGAACACAGTAAATGTAGCATTCATTCTCATTCGTCCACTGGGTCAAATACATGTACAGCATCTGCTACAGCCATATGCACCACGTCTGTACCTCTGTCTACTGCAAGAAATAGTCTGTGTATTGTTTAAGCCAGTGAAATCAGTGATAAGTTCCTTCTGTCTTTCCCCTGCAGGCGAATCTGTAATTGTATTTGAGCCTTTTATACGTATAAAGAGCTTAATTCCAGCACCTGGAATTCATATATATATGCAGAATTCCAGATGCTTTTTATTTCAAATACGTATGTGCTTCGGGCTGTTGTCGTTCATGTTTCAAATCCTTGTTGTAGAGTTGGACCTAGCATTGTAACTGTGTTTATGTTTCGTTCACACATTCATGTGCATGGATAAGAATGGCTGACATTGTTGCTATTTTGTGAAATGGATGCATTCCTCATGTATTTTCCAGTCATTTGTATTTGCTTCTCTCACACTTCGTTGTGAACTTCGTCTGCTTTGTATTGCTTCAGGAGAAGAAAGAGTACAAAGAGTACAAGGACAAGGATTGCCGCGAGTTGTACCGATACAAGGTTTTATTCGAGGATGTGTTTGACTCCGATAAGTACGCAGTCACCCCTAGCCAAGCATGCCGCACTGGCTTGGCCATGTCCGAAGACAGTGCACACGAAGACCACCGTGATGAGTTCCCAGTCGGTGTTGAGAGTAGCGGCTCAAGCGACGAGGCCCGTGTAGCCGCACCGCGCTCGTCGACCAGGGATGAATCTGGCCCGCATAGCGGGGACAAACGGAAGGTCGCAGGGAAGCGAGCAAAGGAGAAGAGGAAGAAGTTTTCATCTCGAGACGTGTCATATTCTGTGGACCGTGCGACCTCTGCCAACGAGAAGATTGCTGCAAAAATTGACCACTTCATTGGAGCAGCTGTGTCCGACCCGAAGATATGCATGAGCGAGTTGCTCGCTACGAGTCGACTACAGAAGCAAACGGATCTGTACTTTTACACATGCAAGTTCCTTTCGCAGATGACCAATAGAGAGGTACTTGACATGCAAGACAATGCAAACGACAAGTTTGCTTGGGTGGAGTGGAGCTACCAGGAATACAGGAAAACGCAACCGCAATGAGATATGTTTCTATCCATTGTGTACATGTCCATGGGAAATTTGTAATTTTCCTTACTGTTGTTGACTTTGACATGTACTATGTTTAATGTGAGGACATTTGAATTGTGTTAGTTTCTATGGGAAACAGTTGCCTAAGTTTGCTTTTTCCAGTTGCAAATTTTTCCTACATGTATGCTAAAAGTTTGATTCTTGAAGATTACAAGCATATATGCAGACAAACAAACTTTTGACTATTTTTCAATTATCTACACCAAATTTGGTATAGACATGGTATACGTCCCCATCTCCCTGTTGTTCCCAAAACCCTTTACGTCCATCCCTCAAGCCCCTCAGACGTTAGTTCCATTGTTATCTCATTTATTATTATTATTATTATTATTATATATTCTTTCGCATGTAATTAATTCCCAAATTCTAGTACAAAGCAAATTTTAAGCATGGGGATATTTAATTCTAAAGATTTATTGTAACATATTTGAGGTTACAACTGTCGAACACTATTCATTCTTTTATTTTATATTTTTTTACGAAACTATTCATACTATATTTCAGTCGGTTTATATTTAGCTGCAAGTATTTTTCATTAAAATTAACTCTTTTCTTGAACACAATTGTAAGACAACAAAAAATGTACCTAAAATGTAGAAAATTGATACAACAAAATAAATAGAAACCGACTTTGGGGACCCAATTAGCCCTCGTTTGGCTCCCATTAATTTTCATTCAATTCCATTTTATTTTTCTCTCTTTTATTTCCAATTACACAATTTTCCATAAAATAATATTATACGTAAATCGAAAA